ATTTATATTTATACACAAATTTCAGAGCAAAAGGCAAAACCAGTTCATGGCTCACGAGCTGGCCCCATAAACCCGAATCCTCTGCTCGATTGGGACACGGCAGTACGGACAAACAGCTTTATTCCGCCTATTCCCGTAGCCTTCATTACAGCTGGCACATATAACCTGATGAGCGCAAGGAAGAAAAACGACAGAAACCTCGTCTTTCATGCAGATCATGCACTCGCAATCACAGCAAGTTGACTTTTCTTCTTGGGTCTGGTCGAGCTCGTGCAGAAGCCTTGCTATTGTTTCACCGCCTTTTGGGGGTTTCACAGTCTCTGTCCACGAGTCGTTCATTTGATTCTCATCCTCGGATTGAGAAGATTCCTTGAGACGGGAGTATTCTTGTTCGAGTCGTTGGAGGTCATCCTTGTGTCTTTGGAAGTCGATCTCGATTTTGAGGCGGAGGGACTCGAGCTTTCTCTTGTTGTTGGCCTCGGAGGCTTCTTTGAGGTGCCTTTCTTCTTCTACTTGCTCGAGTGCTAATTCTTTGGCTTTTTGCTCCTGTCTCCACTTGGCCTTTCACAGGCAGAATTTCAGAACACATTCATTATATGTGTGAAAGAATTGGACTCAAAAAGCTCGGCAGTCATTTCAATAACAAATACCGATGGTGTTGCGAGTTTTGATGATAAGGAAATAAGAAAGTGTAATCGCAAAAGAAATAAAAAAATGCCATCTTTATCTTTATAATTCCTGTCAGCAGAATCTACCTTAAGAAAGTTAAAGTTTTTCTAGAGAAAATCTCCGGCCCAGCATATAGCTGTGAATGACAATTAATTTGATGCGTCCTCCACAAACAATAGTAACGAATCTAAAGACTTAAATAGTATTTAAACCCTAATGGTATCCTAAACCTAGAGCCTAAAAAAGCGAAATTAACAACTTAAATTATTGTTGCCAAAGCTGTTGTAAGATCCCTTAACTGATGCTTGATACATACCCTCTGATCAACAGGCGATTGCTCAAAAGAAGTATAATGAAGATAATATGACCAAGTCGAGGTAAAACTTTTATGAGAAAGAGAATATTAACGACAAGTGACTGCTTTCGGCATGCAAAATAAATAGGCTAAATATTAACTTCTAAAAGAGAAAAAGACAAGGAAACAATTTGCAAGTCCAACTGAACACAACCAATTTCTAGTTATTTACCAAGTTGTAAAAAGTTTACTCTACATATGAAAGTTCCATGGAACAAAGATTTTCTACCAAAATCATGGATGCATTTCTTTTTTGTGATCATATAGCATATCAATTATGCAGTGGCAACAAATATGCTGAGTTGTAAAAGTCCACACGTACTGCCACGACCAATAGGCCAAGGCAATAAATATATTGCCACTAGTTAGGGAAACTGCTTGACAAACCACTCGAAGCAGAAAATTTGACTTTTAAAGGATAAGAGTATGAATTAAATTCTTTTGAAAGACTAATGGAAGATGGGCAATCTACAGGGTACAAAAAATAACAAAATTAGAAATGATGAACGGGGTCACAGTCACACTATGTTCTCAGCACTTCAAGCATAGAAAGGGGAACAATGAACAAAACATATGCATACATTACAGGGCTAGCACACACTTTACCAGAAAAGCTAGTGAGATTAATGTGCAGACTTTATGAAGTCCCCAACTGTAAATCTTAGATACAAAAAGTATTTTCTTAAGATACTGCATAGTAACCTCAATGAACAAGTATGATAAAAGTCAGTACAACTCGTAAAGAACATGCCCTAGAATGTTTAGGGATGCAGGTCATATCTAAAACATAGCCGGTCGGTCAAGTTAAAACAGGGCTAAAATTATTGATTGAAGTGGGAACTATGAAGTAACTCATAACTGGGTGCAATCTGAATGCATTTGAGACTGACAATTTTCAAAGAGTTCTTTCCTGAGCTCCTGAGCTACAATCAATACGTTTTTCTAGCAAAATCATCAGTTGTATCTTTGTTGCATTACCAGTATACTGTATCATAACTGAAAATCCACCAATTTACTTGTGCACAACCTGCTATGGTCCATCAGTTCATCAACCCCGTTCCAAACAGGACAGCAGATTCATAGACAGTGGGACCACAGAATATCTACACAATAAGTGATAGTATCCCTAAACCTTATCTGGGCCACATATCATATATTAGTAGCTCATATTTTGACACCATGACAATGTTCCGCAGGCAAAAATGTGCATGGGTGTACAAATTGTCACAGGGCACAGATTCAGTCACAAATGCCGTGTGCATCTCTGTTAAGAACATTCCATCATTATTCTCTCTATAAGCACCTCCACACAATTTCCCACCAGTTTTATAATATCCAAACCACCAAATTAAGTAACAGTAAGCAGAACAAAATTAGAATCTGCATATAACGGTACTGTGAAAAGCAAACTACCACACACACGCAATTTTCCCCACAACAATATTACCTCGGCTGCCTTGGTGTCCACCTCCACTTGAGCCAGCTCGAGCTCCAGCTCCATGATCCGCCGTTTCTCAGCCGCAATCTCCTCCTGAACCTTGGCTTTCTGTTTTTCCCAGGCAAGCAGCTTCTTGAGGCATTTCTTCTCCCTCTTGGCCACCTCCAAACATGTCGTGACCGACTCGGATGCACTCAATTTGGAAGCCTCCATCTCTGCCTTAATCTCTGCATTCTCCGTCTCAAGCTTCCTAACAAACGCATTCGCACGGTCCACCTGGCTGCTGGCCATCCTGAGGGCACCCTCCATGTCAGTCAGCCTTTTCATGGTAGTTTCCTCCAGTGTCTGCGTCCCCTTCTTGAGCCCCTGAATCTCGTCTCTCTCCATCCTCAGCATCTTGAGCTCGGCCAGGTCGTGGCTCAGCTTCCGAGCGGCCTGCATGGCCTTCTGTTGGGCCCACTCCTTGCGCTCCTTCACCTGCTTCTCCAGGTCCTTTATCTGGTGGACCAGGCTCAGGATCATCTCATCCTTCTGGTCCAGGGCCATGTGCTCCGTGCTTTCATCCAGGTTCAGGTCCCGGAATTTGCTCATGACCGAGTTTACCACGTCGAGACTGTTAGAGTGCTGGGTCTCCTCACCGGCCGGAGGCGGCAGCCCAGACGCGATCCCGCCGGACAGGGAGCTTGGGCACGCCTGTGACTGACTGTGAAATTGCTTCGCATTCGCTCGGAAACCTGCGGCGAACATGGCAACATTCCTCTTGAGCAGGCTCCTCATGGAGGGGCTCAGGTTGAACCTCCTGGGGCATTCGATCTCCCTCTGCAGAGCCATTTCGGACGCATACGACAGGATTCCACCCATCCTGTTCGCCGGGAACTTGGATGTGCCGCCATTGCCGAACCCCCAGCCACCGTGAAACCTGCACAGTGCAGGGGCGACCCCAACGGGGCCCGTGCTGTGGGGCCCATCCCCAACACTGCCCGTCAAGGCACCCTCGCAGCCACTCGTGCTCCCACTGGGGGAGGGCACGACCGGAATTTCAATCATGCTGGCACGGCCGACATGGAGATCGCTCATCAGCAAGCACCACATGGCGTCCCCTTTGCTCAGGTGGGGTTTGACCTGCTGCAGTAAACAAACCATGCCTGCAAGTGAGTACTCCTCCAGCTGCCTCAGGTCTGCAAACGAGGGCTCGGGCTCGTCTTCCTCATCTGACCCAGGGGTGCTTCCACTGTTGAGATAGGCCAATGAGTTGTGCAAGATGTTTGTGAGGACGTCCATCCCACCATAACAGTGGCCGTTCCTCAAAATCGCCCTCAAAGCCACCTCCTCATTATAGCCCAAAGCCACCAGCTTGTTAACGGCGTCGTTATACAAATACTCCAAATTCTTGAGCAGAATATCCTCCAGCTGCTCCTCAGTGCAGTAACCCCACCCGTTATCGTCGAATGCGGAACTCGGGCCGGACACCGGGCACTGTGACAGGGCGTGGAGGCCCATTTGGTAACTCTTAGGTTTTACGCCGGTTTTGGCGTTCGCCGGTTTATCGACATTGCCGTCCTTGTTTGCGGAGGTGGGTTGATCGGATTCGGGTTTCACCGACCGGGTTCTCCGATTTGTGCGGATATGTTTCTCTCTAACGGTACAGCCCATTTGAACAGGATTTCCTAATTCGATCGACTAAGATAACGAGGAACAAGAACCCTATCGAGCAAGCGAAAATCACAATGATAAATCAGCTTAAGAAGGTGAGAAAAGAAGAAACGTCTACAGATGAAAACTTAGGGATCAGATTATTCTTCTTGAGGATTTCGATCGAGGAAAAAAATGAAACTGAAGAAGGTGAGTTGCAGAGAACTTATGTAATCGTCGGTAGTGTAAGAAGCCCCAAGTTGTAGCAGCTGTCAAATGGAACGGGTCTGGTTCGGATCCAAACTCAGGCCTGTTAGGATAAACCAAGGCAGGCCCCTCAATGTAGCTTCCGGGTTATCGAGTGATACAACCGGGCACTTGAAAATTAAGTTCAAAAATTAAAGAGGAAATATTTTTTTTCCAATATGTAGTATACGACGATTTTTCGGATTTTCAACCTAAAATATTTATTTTTAAAAAGTGCAACCTAAACTAAATATATATAACTATTTGCACGCTCGACTACTTTTTGAATGTTCGATCATCTGTTAAAAAGAACACGTGTATGGTCAAGATGTGGTCGAGCGTGTAAATAGTGACTGTATATGTAGTTCCGGTTGCATTTTACCAAAAAAAAAAATACTTTTAAGTTGAAAATTGCAAAATCCTGTATAGTACGGGTTGAAAAAAATATTTACCCAAAATTAAATGCATGTATATGGCTAATTTACATATTTGCAGTGCAAACGAACTTAATTCGCTCGACTTTAGATCTGCGCTCAACCGATTCAACGACTTTGGATTCCTATGTATATATCTTTCAGGCCAATGTGATCAGGACAAAGAATAATAATATGACCGCGCGACTCTAATGCACCCAGTAGATAATTGGCCCGTCGGCCCATGTATATGTACTTGCTCGAAAGCCTCACAGTCCGAAGGCCGGCAACTTGCCAGAAGGCCCTGCGACATGTATATACAACCATAAAGGTAACATGAAATTAAAATGAGTAAGTGCATAGAAATTCCCCACGTCTACTTGTCGAATGCAAAAATAAGTGAATGGCCCATGTTGATCTCACGAACTCGACTCCTTGAAAACTACATGTAAAAACTAACATAAATAATAACAATAACAATAATATTATTAAAGATAATAATAGTTATAACCTTAATTCCAAATTCTTATTTCCTTTTTAACTTGGCAATTATTCAATTTCTTAATTCACACCTTATTTATTAAGAATGCTAATTAGGAAAATAAGAGTAACAAAAATTATAATAATTTAGTGGTCAAGCTTATTATTAATGATAAAATAAAATATGAAAACGTCTATATCAAATAAATAGGTACTTAAAATAACTATACAGTGCAAGCATCCGAAGGGGTCGACGTGAACCCATTTGTTTGATAACTACCACATTGCGCCATGAATTGACACATACGGCGTAAAAAGAGTAGTTAAGTTTTAGGTTTTGATAGTCAGGACCATATTCTATGATTACGTCATCATCACCCCCCCCCC